GTGTGTGTATGAGTGTGTGTCTGTGTGTGTGAATGTGTGTGTATGAGTGTGTGTGTGTATGAGTGTGAATGTGTGTCTGAGTGAGTGTGTGTGTGTGTGTGTGTATGAGTGTGTGTCTGTCTGTGTGTGTGTGTGTGTGCTCGTTTTTGTTACAATATATTTGTATTGAGACAAAGGTATGACATAGGTATTACAAGGAGAAGGTGACTTTTCAGGACATTGCCCCATGTCCCCACTTTTCAAAACGCTTATAAATCACACAGAATGGAGTGTATTGAAAATCTGAAATAGCACAAAGTTTCCTGTTAGGGGCAGGTTTAGGGGTATGGTTGGTGTAGGGCAACAGAATATACGGTCTGTACAGTATAAAAACCACTACGCCTATGGGATGTCCCCACTTTTCACAAAAACAAACCTGTGTGTGTGTGTGTGTGTGTGTGTGTGCCCGTGTGGCAGTGTGTTTATTTATGTTTATACAAGGAGCATAGTTGTGTTATCTGTCACTGGCAGTGTATCAGATTCAGCACTAAAGCAGGTGTGTAAAGTGTGAGTCAGTGTGTCAGGAGACGGCGTGGAATTTAGACCTGAAGGTGGAGTCAAAGAACACATCTGTCAGTATCCAGTATGTTCACTTTCCCCACTGATGCAACCCAACAGTTAACAGCACACTACAAGTTTACATGTCTCAACTTTCATGAAACAGTGCTTTTCAGTTTAGTGTAAAAGGCAGCATTGTATGCTTTATACCAGTTTTTTTCAGTCAATGTATAATGTTATTCACGGTTTCTTGTACAAACCAAAAATTTATTTTTAAAATGAACCTTTACTGACCTTTAAAATGAAAAAAAGCTGTTCTTATTATAATTGTCCATTGGCTATTTATTATGACCAAGTGAAATGAGGATCAATGACCTAAACCAAGCCACTGCACACTGAATAGGTGTTGTTGATGTGTACATTTAAAGGTTTCTTTCAGCCACCAAGTGTAGTACACTCAGCTCCGTTTAACATACTTTACTATGTTTTAAATACATTCTACAGTCCATATCAAATGGGTGCTAATGGTTTTGACGTTTTAATTGAGAGAAGTTGGACAGTGGAGTAGGTCCGATAGCAGAAGAGATCACAATAGCAGAATTTTCACTACACGATTTCCATGGCCAAAAGAATTGAGATAGTTATAGAAATCTTGAAAATATTACATAAATAATGCTATTAGTCAAATTCATCTTTATGTATTTATTTATTTAATTAATTCATTGTATTTATTTATTTAATCACACCACTGCATACAAAAGGAACAATTACACTTAATGGCAACCAGTTTGAAATAACTTCCTTTTGTGTAGTGATGTGGCTTATTATCACAGAATGAGGCAGAATTTATATTATTTTTTTAGTATTGTATACAGTGATAAAGCTTATGTGTTGAGTATGAATAAATAAATAAATTACATGTGAGAGTTTAACGCTCCATAATGATCACCTCACCCTATTTTGGGTAAAAATTGAAAAAAAAAACATACAATAATCCATACATATTTATCCACATGAGGGATGTGAATA